ATTTTAATTAAATAGACTTAATCTCAGTAATGTGCTGGTAACATAAATGTCATGTTTTCATAGGAAAACTTATTTATAAATCTTTACACCTTTATTTTCAGTTAGGTGAGGGGAGTCCTGGTGTGATTTGGCATCTTACCAGTAGGATCTTTTCTGCATACACTACAGGAGTGCCTGTGGCCTTTATGTCCATGATGCAATAAAGGATTCCATTAAGTTGATTTGTCAAGTTATAGACACCTGTATGTAACCTACTGAATGTTTCTGAAAAACTATTTCTCTTTATTTTGTGTTCCTGAGTACTTGGCAGATGTTCATTTAGTGGGAATTCTCACCTACCACATGGATGAACTTGAAATTAATTGCAAGGGAAAAACGAACTTATTTTCTTTTAAAGAAAGAAACTTAAAAGGAGCATAAATATTTCTAAAAAGCCATTGAAAGGAATGCATGCTGTTTGTAATTTAGAAATGCTTTTTATTCACTGATAAGTATTCACTTTTTTACAGCTTGTATCAAATGATTTTGGTTTTCTCATAAAGGGAAAAACAGGTTGACACCAATGGGTTGGCATTATTCCTTAAAATTTTTGCTATCAGGTTTTATCCTTTAATAATGTTATTTGTACTTCTGAATTACAGCTTTTAGTTAATTATGAAATCAGTTATTTCATTTCTTGATTTCTCCATATTATGAACGCTGTTTTTAAAATATACTACACAAATTTGCATCCCTTTTTTTCTCTCATAGCTTTTGTAGTTAATACATTCTAAACTTGAAAATTGTGGTATCAATCAATAATAGAGGTGTCACTGGAGGATTTAATTTTGTATTATGTGTAGAAATAGCTACTAAAATGTGTAAGCCTTAAAGTTTAAAACATTTTTCTTAAATAACTATACTCAGATTTTTCATTTATTTTCATAAAGTGGGAGGAGATAGGTCATTGTGCTTGCTTTTGTTTCTTTTTTTATTTCCATAATCTGAAGCAGTACAGGCTAGGGTATGTTAATCAAGTGAGCAAGATGAGATATGTAAAATATGAAGAGAAGCTGTATAAATCACAGTATAAAATTAAGTTTGGGAACTGTAAAATGTACTGTATTTATATGTAACTCTAAAAGTTGCCACAAAGGCTGACTTGGAAGCTTCATGTCTGCATGAAATTTCCTATATTTTTAATGTGTATGATGGACTTAATTTTTCTTGAATATTAAAATCTGACAATTGCTATGAAACTGTATTTGCTTGCTTGTTTCCATCTAACATGGGATAACCATAGATATGGGAATTTTAATTAATTGAGAACAATGTATTTAGACCCTGGAATTAGCCTTTTATATGCTTCTAGAAAGTCATTATGATTAGTTGAACTCTGAGTATGCTAGGCCTTGTACTAATTAAACTTGGTCTTTGGTTTTGTTATATAATCAAATAAGAATTGAAGAAAATTCCAGCACCAGCCATTAGTATGACGAGGAGCGCTGAACTGGCACTTAGATACTTCTCCTGAATTATTATTTGTGATCTTGGGCAAAGCATTCTGAGTTTGTTTCCTCATCTATGAAAGAGGATTGATATCCAGTTCAGTGGTTTTTATGAGGTCCTCTGTACTATATGTGAAATACTAATATTATACAGGCATACCTCCTTTTATTGCACTTTGCAAATAGTGCTTTTTTTTTTACAAACTGAAGTTTTGTGACAATCCTTGTGTCTAGCAAGTCTGTCAGCATCACTTTTCCAACAGTGTTTACTCACTTCATGTCTTTGTGTCATTTTGGTAATTCTTGCAGTAGTTCAGACTTTTTCGTTGTTACTGTATTTTGCTGTGGTGTTTGGTAAACACTGATTTTAAGGTATGCACATTTTTAAAGACATTTAATAGATGACAGTATAATGTAAACATAACATTCATATGCCCTAGGAAACCAAAATATTTGTGTGACTCACTTTATTGCGATATTAGCTTTATTGCAGTGGTATCTTCAATATCTCTAAGGTATGCCTCTATGTGAATATGTGAAAGCACATAGTGGACAAGTAAATGTGATTTCCATATATGTTGATTGCTGTATACACAGAAATCAGTTTCACATGGATGAAAAGATTTAAATATGGAAGCAAAAATATAAAACCATAAAATGTCTAGAACTTGGAACAGGAAAGGACTTCTTAACAAGTAGTATGTGTAAACCAGACAACTAAACATTGATAAACTTGACTATGTTAAAATTAAGATATCAGACAGTAAAAATACAAGACATACTGGGAGCAAATATTTATAATATTTACAACAGCTACTACTCATAAGAACATTGCTTTCTAGAATATAAAAGAAGCTCTTCCAAATTAGTTAGAAAAGAACAACCATACCAACTTTTTAAAGTTGCAAAGAACTTAACAATCCTTTCACAAAAAGCTAGAGATCCAAGTTGGGCCAAGCAGAGGCTGGCTGAGATCAGGTAGAATGGTCTTGAAGCAGAGGTGATGGTGAAAAGGCCTACGCCGTAAGACAAAAAAGCATAAACTACAGACAATGAAAGAAAAGACTGATAATGTAGACCACATTTACGTTTAGAACTTACTCAACAAGACACCATGCAGAGTAAAGAGCCAGAATTACTGCTTCAGGAATGGCCCATAACTATGTAAAAAGAGGTCCAGTTTCACTGGGGAAATACAAACAGGCCACAATGAGATATATCACATTGCAAGTTTACTGGTGAGGATGTGACAAAAAAAGGCATCTCATCCTGTACTAGAATAAGCTTGTAAATAGCACTTCAGGAAGCTAGTCATACACTGTACTACTCAGGAATTCCATCCTATAGAGACAGGCGGCTCAGTGGTAAAGAATCCGCCTGCCAATGTAGGAGACACAGGAAACCTGGGTTCGATCCCTGGTTTGGGAAGATCTCCAGGCGGGGGAAATGGCAACCCACTCCAGTATTCTTTCCTGGGAAATTCCATGGACAGAGAACCCTGGCGGGCTACAGTTCATAGGATTGCAGAGTTGGACACGACTGAGCAACTAAGCATGCATGCAGAGACATTCTTGCACATGCGCCTTAGAAATTATGAAGCATGCTCATATCAGGGATTCTCAGATGTCTCAAAGAATCTGCCTGCCAACATAGGAGACTCGGAGACACGGGCTACATCCCTGGGTCGGAAAGATCCTCTGGAGGAAGAAATCGCAACCCACTCCAGTATTCTTATCCAGAAAATTCCACGGACTAAAGGAGCCTGGCAGGCTATAGTCTAAGGGATCTAAGAGTTGGACATGACTGAGCACACACACATGTTAACAGTATACTATCTCTAAAAATTTGAAAAAAACTCAAATGCTTATCAACAATGAAGTGTATTCATATGGTGGAATACTGTATTTAACATGAATGAAATTACATGCATAAAAATATGAAATAAGGAAAATAAAGCAAATGACCAATTTTTAAAATTGGGTAAAATTTGAGTATTTTACCTAAGAAGACATACAGATAGCAAGTAAGCACGTAAAAGATCCTGAATATCATTAGTCATTAGGGAAATCCAATGGGATAAACTACAATGGGATACATGAGATATTTACTTAGATTAAAATTAGTCTGACCAAACTTAAGTGTTGGAAAGGACATGTAGGAGTCTCTGAAACACTGCTAGGTGGAATGAAGAATGGTACAACCACTTTGGAAACCAGTTTGGCAGTTTTAAAAAAACTTATTTTAACTTTTTAAAAAAGTTAAATATACACACTTACTATGTTATCCAACCTTTCCACTCCTAAGTTTTTACCTGAGAGGAAAAAAAAGCCTATGTCCATTCAAAGCCTTACACATAAATGTTCTCTGCAGCCCCAAACTGAATACAACCTACATGTCCACCCAAACTGAAAGAATAAACAGACTGTGATATATCCATATATATGTAATACACGGCAAGTTATTCTGCCAGAAAAAGAATGGAATTTTGCCGTTTGCAACAATATGGATGGATTTAAAGGGTATAAATACGGTATCGCTTTACTTATATGTGGAATCTAAAAAAAATAAATGAGCAAATATAACAGAGAAACGGTCATAGATAAACAGAACAAACAGGTGATTGCCAGAGGGGAGGGGGACTGGGGATGAGAGAAAACGGGAGGAAATGCAAAGATCAAACAGAAAAGCTACTGTTTACTACCTTACTTATTATATTTCTATAATAAACAATTGGTTGCTCCTAACTTCTCACAACAGGCTTGATGTGCAGGGGCGTGGGATAATTAATTACTAATCAGAGAACAATTATCTTCCTTGCACACTTTTCTCTAGAAGATCATAGTAGTTTCTCCCTTTAAATCACTTATACAGAATTTTCTTCCTCACCTTTTTCTTGGTTACTGTTTTTATTAACTATTAAAAATAAGGTTGTTTTCTCTCATGTCCTTTGACAGCACATACCGTTTTGCTCTAAGAAAGGTTTTGGAATCTCACTTCTGACCACCGCGCAGAGGAAGCAAGGAACGCTGCCTTTCCCACATAATTTAAAAGCCAAACAATCTCAAGTTTCAGTCGCAAAGCGACACAGCTACTCTGAAACCTCTGCAACACCACTGGGCCTTTAATAAGCCCGCCTCGCCCCAGGGCGCGCACTTCCGGCCGCGGGGGCGCTCGGGAGCTCGCCCCGCGAGCCTCCACCAACCAGGGGCTCTGCCTGGCTTACGCGAATGCGCGCGCGCACATTTGTGCGCAGGTTCGAATCTCCGCCGCCTCGCGGTTGCTCCCCAACGTCCGGCAGCGCCTCGGAGGCGGCGGCGAGAGCTGCGCGCGCGAGCTGGGCCGGATTGGCTGCCCCGCCCCCTCCGCCCTCTGCACTTTCCAGCGGCGGCCTCGCCTGGACTCGCACCTCGCCCTCCCTCGCGCACTGCGCGCTCCGCCCTGGTCTTCCGCCCCCACAGCTATCGGCACTCGGCATCCCGCGCCGGGCGGGCTCCGCCCGAGCCTTCGGGGCCCATGGCCAAGCGCCGTGCGGCCGAGCCGCTGACGTTCCACGTGCCTTGGAAGCGGCTCCTGCTCTGCGACTTTCCTGAGGAGCCGCCGCCGCCGCCGCTCTGGATCCCGCCGCCGGGGGCCTCGCATCCCGGGCGGCCCCTCGGCTTCCCCGAGCTGCCCCGAAAGCGTAAAATCGACGTGGGGGCTATGACTGAGCCTTCGGTTTCGCCCAGCAAGCGCCGCGACGACGGGGATACCGGTGCTCAGGGCGGCGCGGAGCGTGAGGGCCGCGGCCTGGAGACCGGCGAGTCGCAGCTGCTGCAGCCGCCCGTGCGGCCCAGCGGGCCGGGGGAGGAGCCCCGGGGTGTCCGGCCCCCGAGAGGCGGTGGCGACGATGGGGCGGGGCGCGCAGAGTCCCAGCGGGGAGACTGGGGGGCCGCACCGCGCCAGGTAGGGGCTGGTGGTGGGCTGGGCGTTCCGACGGGGGGCGGGGTAGGGGAGAAAGGGTCACCCGTTACCCGGCACTGCGCGTCCCGGGAAGGAACCTATCGTCCCCCTCTAAAGTCGTGTTTGTCACGACACCCCCGCCCAAGATGAAAAGCTGGGGTCCTCCCCATGAGAATGTACACTGACACCCCCCTTCCCCGCGTCCGAAGCAACACACCAAAGGCCCTAGAGCCCGCCTTGGGCAGCGTCTTGGTTCGTTACGACGGGCAGAGAGCACTAAGCTAAACCAGGGGGAAACAGACCGTTGGATGAGGTATACTCGTGGCCTTGCGCCTTCAGCACTTGTGCTGTCCAAGAGGGAAGCAGGGGCGTGGGTCATCACAGACGGGGGAGCTTGGTAAAGACGTTGACCGTGAACTGCGATAAGTTAAGCTCCACGACAAAAGTTCAGAGAAAGGTGGATTGAGTCTTCCTCGGTTTAACGATTGTTTTCTGGAATTCATGATCGATTTCTTTCTAAAGAGGGTGACCAATGTAGTAGCCACCAGTTGGACGTCCTTTTAAGGGATGGTACAGCTCTTTTGATTGAGAGGAAGGGCCTCCGTATCTCGGGGAAAAGGCATTCTTAACGCAGTGTTAAGTCTGATCCTATGAAAAAGGATCAGAAAATTAATCTGGTTCTTAACATCAGGCATATGTATGAGGATCTTTGGAAAGTTCCGCTTCCGTGGGAAATGAGCCTGCCCCATATCTGCACATAAGATGTCTAGATAGGTGTGGCAGCCACTCAAATTGTGACACAACACCTGAGGTGTGACTAGTTCAAACTGAGATGTGCTCAAAGTGTAAAATAACACACTAGATTTCAAAAAATTTTATATTGATTGGACATTGAAATAATTTGAAGATACTGGATTGAATAAAATACATACTTTTCAAATATGGCCATTCAGTCAGTTCAGTTCAGTAGCTCAGTCGTGTCCGACCTTTTGCGACCCCGTGGACTGCGGCACTCCAGGCCTCCCTGTCCGTCACTAACTCCCGGAGTTTACTCAAACTCATGTCCATGGAGTGGGTGATGCCATCCAATCATCTCATCCTCTATCATCCCCTTCTCCTCCCGCCTTCAATCTTTCCCAGCATCAGGGTCCTTTCAAATGAGTCAGTTCTTCGAATCAGGTGACCAAAGTATTGGAGTTTCAGCTTCAGCATCAGCCCTTCCCATTGAATATTCAGGACTGATTTCCTTTAGGGTGAACTGGTTGGATTTCCTTGCAGTCCAAGGGACTCTCAAGTATGGCCATTAGAGAATGTTAAATAATGTTTGTGACTGGCATTGTGTATTATTGGGCAGCTTTGGTCTCATCTTAGGAATTCAAGCAGCGTTTTGGCACTTACGGGTTGAACCAGGAGCTTTGCAGGTGGAAGAAGCAAATGAAGAGCTGAGACTTCACCAAGTTCTCTTCAACCACTACATTGTATCATCTGCCCCACTTTTCTCCATTGTCCTAAATATCATAAGCATCGATAGTATTTTTCAAATTCTTTGCCAATAAAATAAGAGTAGTTTGGAAAGATCTTGTTCTGTGGTCGTCAGAAATTATCTTTTAGATATATTTATTATGATGAGCATTTCTACCCTGGGTTTTCTTGGAATTTAGAAAATTAACCTTATTTAGACTTTTAAAATTCAAACTGCTTTTGGATGTTCAAGTCCTCTTAAGACTGAATGATAGCACTTAGTTTTAAAGTAGAATAAAGAATTACAATTTGCAGTTAAATCATGTCATACCAATGTGCAAAACCTGAAAAAAACAAATCTAGAATGATCGTCATCCAGACCTATTTGGTATGAAGGTAAGTACTGTATAGTCTGAGAACTTGACTGTTTCTGTTACCCTACCCATAAGTAGGCTTGTCTTTCCTACCAGAGTACACTGACTGCAGTATGCCACAAATTGGTAAAAGGGAAATGAAAATGGCAGGTAGGCAAAGGAATTTTTTTAGTAAACTGACAGCAGATATCTGCGTAGAATCTCCTAGACGCTGGAATCTCCTAGCATCTCCTGGAATCACCTAGAATCTCCTATATCTTCTTCCACAGCAGTGACTACATCTAGAAGCTTTCTGCTTCCGGGACTCACTGTAAGCCTGTAGCAGGGAACAAGCTTGTTTTGAGGGGTTTCTACATAAAGACTAGTCCCCTGTTCTCTTTCCCCAGGAACCCTTATGTTCCTTTTTTTGTCCTGTTCCTTGAGCTGCTGCTTTGTGTAAACTTAATTTTCTTCAGCTTCTTTTTTTCTTTACTGCCACCAAAGATGCTTGGTTTTTGTATTATAAGAGTCTTACAGCCAAGGGAAAATAGGATATAGCAAAAACATGCAGAAGTTAAAAAGTTTTTTCAGTTCCTGCAGCAAAAGTCTTCCTGGTTCCTCTTCTCAGAGTTCAAGTCCCTATCCTTACCCTTGGGATCTCATTTAGGAAGAATTTCCTTAAATATGTCCTTTCTATATGAAGGATGAAATCTAGGCAGAATGATGGTACCTGTTTTCTGTCCTAGAATCTCAAGAGTATTGAGTTGTTTCAGGTATTTTCTTAACTGGAGAACTAAAAACCAGGTGTTACTTCAATGAATATTCATGTATTTTCTCATGTTAGAGTCGCTTTATGCAGATTCAATACTGTCAGTGCTGACCTTTACTGTTATTAATTGATATTTTAAATAGCAGAAATGGTGTGATTTTAGTTTATAATGATGCAGGTTCATAGGCTTCTTGGGATATAATAATTAGCTGTATTTGGCAGTTACAGTGCTAAACTGTAACTCGCACAAGAGCAGAGTCTGTCTTCTTTTGTCTGTGATGAAATAGACTTCAGTCAAAATCAGAGTTAATAGGTGGTGGAGTTATCATATAAATGCAGACCTGTCCTGTGGGCAAAGTTTGTGCTCTTAGCTAGTAGGTTATACTGACCTTGTTAAGGGATCTTTTTTGATTTGTGTCTTATAAGTAGGTAATTTGAACAATAGATTTTTTTCCAAGAGACAGAGAAATAGGTCATTGTTTTTAACCCTGTTTACTTTAAAGTGAAATTTTTCTTGGCATTGTTTGAGTTATTAAATTTTTATCCCAGTGTTAAGAAATTCCCAAGAGACTCAATTCGCTAAGCCTTAATGTCTAAGGCACTGAATGAACTTATTGAAAAGTCCTGTGCTCTCCATTTAAGTAACTAGCGACATGTGCCTATTGAGCACTGAAATGCGGCTAGTCTGAATAGTGCTGGAAGTGTAAAATACCTGGCAGATTTTAAGCTTTTAATTACCAAGACAAGAAAAATGTAAAACATCACATTAATTTTTTAAAATATTGACTGTATCTTGAAATCATAGTGATTTTGGTTCTACTAGGTCAAGTAAAATTTTCAGATTGATTTCACATGTTTCTTTTTACTCTTTTTTTTTTAACTGAAGATACCAGAAACTTTAAAATTATCTATGTGGCTTCTGTTATATTTCTGTTGGATACTGCTGCTATAGCAAGTATGAACCTAAAGTACAGACACGACTTAATAGACTAAATATATAGATACATTGATACCCATTGAGGAAAGGTGTTAACCTTCAAAGTGATCACCTTGAAGGTCTGTATATAATCGCAGTGCGCAACGTATTTAGGGGAGGCTTTTGAAATTTTGTGCCAGTTTTGAAATTTTTTAGAACATCAACTTCATAGTTAACTTGAAGCAGTTTTATAGCCTTTAAGAATAAGCTGTTGAATTTTTAAAGGACTCACACTCACTTGGATTTATCAGTTTTGTTTTATTGAGTTAAAAGTCATGCCTTGAACAGAATGGTATGTTTAATAAAATGATCAGTTTCAGATTTTCTTGTTATTTACTATATTTTTATTTTAATGTTTTTTAGAAGGTTGTCAAAATATTTTAGCCTATGTAAAATCAACCCCTTAAAATTCCAAACCTCAAGGCAGAGGCCAAAAGTAAGTTTTAAGATGTGTCTATGTATTTTTTATATTGTTTTCCTCATTGAAAGGTAAAAAATTCTAAGGCCATCTTCAGACATTATTTTTGGGTTGACAAATAGAAGAAAATTCTGGGAAGAGACGCTCTTGGAGGAGATTCTTTTAAATTTAAACTACTAGCAAGAAATACTTTCACAGATTCATGAATATGAAAATACAGGTTTGACTGAACCCATGAAGTACTCTGATTAGGCAGAATTAATATTTATTTGTTGAAGATGCAAAATTAAAGACTGCAAATTTTATGTGAGTTTTCTTTTAAAACAAAAAATGGGTTTCATGAAAAACCTCAACTTTTTCTAGACCATTGATGTGCTTTCATCTCTCTCTTCTTTTCACTAAAGCTCAGTGAAGAATTTTGGCAGTATAACACCTTCCAGTACTGGAGGAACCCTTTACCACCTATTGATCTGGCAGACATTGAAGATGTAAGCGAAGACAACCTGATAGAAACAGCACTGCAGGGCAAGAATGAAGTGGCTGAGATTGATATGGAGTCTTGACAGAAGGAGCTAAAGAAGTGGGTTTTTCTCAACTCGAGGAGACATCTCTAAGTGAATTTATGTATTAAGGAAAAAAGTTATTTTCCATACTTGATGTGATATCATTCCCAAACCTGAAAAATGAGGAAAAGTTGTTTCAAAATGAATGCCTGCAGTCAGTACTATACCTCCCAATTGGGATTTGTCAAGGATATAGTGCAGTTGTAGGGGAAGTACAATATGTGTGCATTCTTAAGAAAAATGTATGTGTAGGTTCTAAATTTGAAGATATCAGTCTTACAAAATGGAATTCTGACTGTTACAGAAATAGATGGGAAACATTCAGATATTCCTGTTGTTGCACCAAAAAGTTAATTTGTGTACATGAAATGAATATTGTTTTATAATAACTTATTAATAAAATACTTTCTAATACACTTCATTGACTCTTTTTGTTGAACAAATAGCTGACTTAAACATCTGTGCAAACTTAAAATGGGATTCTTTCTGAAACCTGGTATCGTTTTAAAAGAGCTTTCTAAATGTAAAGTAGTGAGAATTTCAGTTTGGGTAGCATGTTTCTATAACTTCCAGTAGTTAATATTTGCTAAACTTGACTTTAGGCCATCAGTAATGGATAAAGAACAAAGAGAATTGAGCAGGTGATTCATTCCCCTCCTTTCCTAGGATAAGAAATTTATATTTCTTTTTATTTTTTTATTGTTATTTCTCGATTTTGAATTTCTTTGAGGACATGGTGTTTATTGCTTATTATCTAGACTTGTAGTCATCAACACTTACAACTTTCAAAGATTTTGCATGGGCCCCACTCTTGAGAGATTCTCATATAATTGTTCTGAGGTGGGCTTGAGTATAACTTTTTTTAAGCACCAATCCTTCTTTCATTTCTCAAATGTGCAGACTGGTTTGAGAACCACTAGACTCATAGTAGGTTTTCCTGTTTAGAGGCGATAACTAATGAGCTGAAGCACTGCCTTCTTAATTAGCTTTGTTTTTATTTTGCTCTGTTGATTGGCTTTGTTACAACTAAATTGTCTTATTAGTCTTTCATTGTTAAAGAAATTAAGCAATTTGTGTTTTTAGTTATATTAGTATCAGTAATTAAGTTAATTAACTTTTGTACTGCATCCAGAATATTGGCTTTGTAATTGACTGACTTGTCTTTGTACATTTTTTGTTGTTAATGACATTAGATCCAAAATTTAGGAAGGATGATAAATGCCATTGAGAGAAGAAGAAATACTAGTGTGTACTGTAGAGTGTGTACTGTAGCATTTAAGTATGGGCTGACATCAGTAAGAATATTCTAGAAGAGAAGACAAACTGTATAGCTAAGTCTTTGGGGTCAGGTTTGGTTCAAAGTCTTGTCCTGCTGCTTTCTACCTGTGTAATGTTAACTTGGGCTTCCTTGTTGGCTCAGATGGTAAAGAATCCACCTGCAATGCGGGAGACCTGGGTTCAGTCCCGGGTTGGGAAGATATCCTGGGAGAGGGCATAGCAACTCACTCCAGTGTTCTTGCCTGGAGAATCCCAGGGACTGGGGAGCCTGGTGGGCTGCCGTCTGTGGGGTCATACAGAGTCGGACACAACTGCAGCAACTTAGCAGCCAAGCCCCAGATATGTCGCTTGTAAAATTAGAATAAACAGTATCTACCTCAGACTATATTTATTATGAAGCAATGTACTAAGTACCTGCATCACCTTGTCTAATTCTCATAATATTCTTAAAGGTACAAAAAAGTTATTTGGAATAAATGTGCTTTCTATAGTTGCACTTCATTCCACTTTAAATTGCTATTAGAAGTAATAAGGAGAAGAGCTGGAATTTGAAGAATTAGCAAAGGAACTATGGAGTGGGGGGATAGCAGTTAAAAGTGCAGTGAAAAGGGGAACCTTTCTACCTCCTTTATAGTTAATCTTGAGGGTAAGAAAGTGCCCTTTTATTTTTGGAAGGTGTCCATTTTTTTACACTTCTCTTCCTAGTGCTTGAACAATTCCTGCCACATAGTAGATGGTTGCATGCACGAATAAATGTGTGCTCTTATCTGTTGGGAAGGTCATGCTGGCAATTTTAGGCCATTTCCCTTAGAGGTGTATACAAAAGGTTTGTTATAGAGATCCAGTAGTAAGACATTGGAAATGTGTTAAGTTTATTATATTTATTATATAATAACCAAGACTATAAGGACTAAGATGTCTCCCAAATGAGCAATAAGAGATGGTTTACTTGGACAGGAAATTTCATAGGTTACCACATTGCAGTGTCTGAGTGAAGATGCAGAGTAGCTTGGATGTCTTTTTCAAGGATATGTCAAAAAGCATTAAAACCATAAGGTAAAGATTGAGGGAAAATACTCGCTATTATTATGTTAAAAGTTTTAATATTTTATATAGGTGTATATGTATTTTAGTACAATGTAATAAAATTTATACATATATATTAATATGTAAAATATGTATAATATACAGGGTATGTATGTGTGTGGTTACATATATAGAGAGATTTGAAATAATTTTGTCCTTTAAAAAAAAATTGTTAGCCTCAAGTAACTTGGCAAAATAGCCTTGTGGATAAATTGAAATGGAAATTAAAAAGTAGGTTTTTTTTTTTTAAGTTGTATGCCCTTCACTCAGATTCCCTAACGTAGTATCTTACATTATCACAGTATTATTATGAACATGAGGAAATTAATATCAGTATAATTCTATTATATTTTTATGAGGACATGGAAAGAGTGACATCAGACAGCTTCTTTAAAGAATGTATGTCAAAAACCTAAAGGGAAGATTCAGATTTCATTGCTGTCCTACTAACATCCCTTTTCTGGCTCAGGATTCAATCCATGTTATATGTTTAGTTGTATCTCCTTAGTCCTCAAAATTTCTTTGCCTTTCACAACCTTGGTACTTTCTGAAGAGGACTGGTTAGTTATTTCATCAGATGACACTTGATTTCTGTTGATTTGTCTGATATTTCCCATAATTATGCATTTTTGATAACTTCATAGAAGTGGTGTAAGCTCAGTTCATTGTACCAGGAGGCACTGGATGTCAGTTTGTGTCATTGGTGATTGTAACTTTGATTAGTTGGTTAAGGTTGTGTCTGCCATGTTTCTTTCTTGTAAAGTTACTGTTTTCTCCTTTAATTACTAATTATCTTCTGGAGGAGTTTTTTTCGAAACTATATAAATTTCTCATTCTGCACACAAATTTTAGAAGCTTGATGATTCTTGCCCGAAATACTTATTTCTCTGGTATATGTCAAATGTTAATTTTCTGTTTCCATCATCTCTACCATATTTATTGGAATTCTACTGTAAAGGAGAGCTTTCCTTTCATCCTCATTTCTATAGTCAATTGATTATATCATTATAGACTAATGAGTATATATTTTGTCCTATGAGTTATAATCTGTTGCTATCATTATTTAGTTACACAAATCCCAGGTTTAATCATTGAAAGTCCCTTCAAGTTGGTTCTTTTGCTCTCCCCCTTTTAAAATGCATTTTGTTATTTATTGTGTGAATACTGATTAATATTGGCAGAACACTTCTGCACTTACAAGGTGAAGGATGGAAATCAGTGCCAGCTGTGGCATCACTATGTTACTTAACAATTTGAGTCTTGTTTTTCTCCTCAGAAAATGGGAACACTAATACCTCAGAGGAACAGAGTTGAGGTGAAATGACATGGTAATTGTGGGGAACCATAATTGCCACTAAATACATATTTCTCTTCCTTTACAGTACTTGAAGTGCATGTATTCATTATCTTTCTGATAGATAGTTATTAGTGATATCAGTACCTAAAGTTGACTGAGGCAAATGCTCTATGAAGGTCACTTTTAAAGAATTTCAGCTATTATGTGGAGTCTACAAACCTAAACAATAATATCATAACAGACTATATTTGTTGGTTGTATGACCCCATGATAGGCAGAGATGGATCCCCAAATTCCCAGCCCCTGTTGTAACATCCAGTTATGTGATCAAACACTAATTTAGGTACTCCTGTGACTACTTTGCTGATGTTACTAAGGTCTCAAACCAGTTGCTCTTAAGATAGGGAATGAACTTGGTGGGCCTGATGTAAATCACACAAGCCCTTTAGAAATGAGTAGAAGGTTAGAGACAGAGGAAGTCAAAGAGCTACAAAGTGTGGTAGGGGGTTCAATAGGAGAGTAATTCTTTGGCTTTGAAGATTGAGGGAGCCCATGTGCAAGAACCTGAGAGCAATCACCAGAAGTGGGTACGTCCTTGTGGCCACCCAGAAAGAAAATGAGACCTCAGTCCTATAACCGCAAGGATCTAAACTCAGCCAACAACCTGAATGAACTTGAAAGTGGTTTCTTCCAAAGAACTTTGAGAAGAAGCATAACCTGGCTGACGTCTTGATTTCAGCTTAATGATACTCTGAACAGAGAACGTTACATGTCAAACTGGACTTAGTGGTTCCAGATTTTGGACACAGAGACCACTCTTGGGGAGGACAGTTTTTCCATGGACCAGGGTGTGTCTGGGGGTGATGGTTTGGGGATGATTCAAGGACATTTATTGTGCAATTTGTTTCTATTATTGCATCAGCTCATCAGGCATTAGATCCCATAGTTTAGGCACCCCCGAGTTAATTGAAGAGGTTTGTTTTTCTAGACTGCTTAGTTTGTGATAATTTATTATGCAGCAATAGAAAGCTAATAGAGACCCCATCACTTTTTAGCACTTCCTTACTTCTCACACAAGACATCTGCCACAGATGTTTCTCTTGTAAATTCTCTACCCTAGTCCTGAAATTATTTCTCCAAAAAGCCCTGACTTCTTTATTAGAGAAAGGTATTTAGAAATGAAGAGCTCAGTGCAAGATATACTCGTTGGTATTGGGTATCATCACTTTCTATGTCCTCTCAGCTGACAGAACAATAAAATATATTTGTGTATACAACTGTATATATTTCTATAACCTAGATAGCATATTAAAAAGCAGAGATATTACTTTGCCAACAA